AAAATACAAAAGAATCTGGTCTAGATTTAGCAGTTGCTGAAGATAGGGATATAATATTCGAAGCTTTAACTAAACTTCGTGAATATTTTCTTTCATTCGACTCCTCCACTACCACTTTTGCCAAGGCTTCCTCCTCCACTACCAACGCCACAGCACCTGCGGAACAGAGTAGCAAGAGTTAATGATTTATTGTTCAACCAATGATAAACAATGATCATGTGAATTAGGTTATGCATTTCTTATTGTTTTTTGTCGTGAAATTGTTAAATAAAAAAGTCGTTGATTTCGCAGATTACATATAAAAGTTATAAATTAGTTTTTTGTACCTTATCAAAAACGGAATAATGCTGTTCAGCAGTTATATTTTGATCGTCGTCTTTATTCATTCTTATATTAACGATTTAACTCATCTTTTCAAACGAAAATATATATTACCTTTCGAAACATTATTAGGTTGTATTTTTACAAAATCGTCCAGGAGATGAATGCGTTAGTTACACAAAGAAAATCAAAAACAATTATCTACACACTTTACTTTTATAGTTCAAGCCAAAATCCAGTTTAGAAAAACGTTCTCTAAAAAAAAAGTAAAAGAACATTAATGACATTCCCAATGATAAAGGAAAAATAAAAATACTAACTTACCTTTATAGCCTAGTCAAAATCAAGGTCCAAAAAGGTATTCTCTAAAAAAAAAAAATAAAATAAAAATTAGTAACATTTTCAAGACAAAAAAAGAAAGAATTTTACACTTACTGTTTGAATTCAAGCTGTCTAAGTTGAAATTCAGAGTAAAAGGTCCAGAAGAAGAGAGGGAGAAAGGGAAGAAAAAGAGAAAAAAGAGTGAGAGTGAGAAAGAGTGAGAGTAAGAGTGAGAGTATATATGTGTTTGTGTGTGTATGTGATATAATACGTAAATTTAATATTATCATTAATGTAAAAAAAAAATTAAATAATAAAATAAAATAAAAATAAAAAAAATTTATGCTTATCTAAGTCGAATTGACCATCCAATTTGTTTACCGTTGGTGATATAAATAGATCAATCTGAATCTGGTCAAATTTTAGATGGATGACCAGATATCTGGATTGATCAGATTTGGAATATACTTCTACTTCTCACAAACATTTTGCATAACCATTAATAATTAGCATACTGCAATTTAATTATCAACAGTCAGTATATATTTCAATTCTCTTAACATTTATCTTTTATAGTTGCTTACATAATTAATATAAAATACGTCACATTTTCTGCCATTGGTATCAAAAATATCATACATAGTTTCTAATATTAATCCCTAATGACAACTCTATCAGTTACACAATAGAAAAACTTGATCAATAATGAACCATCATCTGGATGTTACAATATATACATGAAATTTTAGAGCAGCTCTAGTTAATGAGGAAGTATCTACACCTCTAAATATCAATTAACTATGCAGTTAGCAAATACTTTGCAAAAAAAAAAGATTACATAGTTGACAAAAAAGAAAAAACATTTGATTAACTAAAAAATGACAGAAAAAAAGTGAATAATTCTACAAAATTGAAAACTTTTTTTCTTTTTAAAATTTATCACTCGATTTAGTAGTATTCTTTTAGTAACTATTTTACAAAATATGCATCATTTTTCAAGATAGAATATCCATTTTTTTTCATTTTTCTTATATGTAATTAATTATCTTTAATCAAATATATTTTTTTTATTAGTGTATGTATCTAAAGCATATGAGAAAAATCATTTTACATTATTATAATTTTGCAAAAAATTAATTCAGATTATGAGTCATCAAATGAAATATTTTTATATCTTCTATCATCAGATCACAATATAAATATTATCAAATTTTTATAAAGTATGAGATGCGAATGTTAAGAAAGATGAGAAAAAATGCTTATATTATTGAAAAAAGTTTCATATAGAAAAATGATAATAGTAAATTTTTGTCTAATAAACATGATGATTATAATTTATTAGGTGATGATGATAGTTCTGAAAATGAAATAGAGAATGAAGATATGTATGTTAAAATAATGAGATAAATAGTAGGATTGATGAATTATTTAATGTTATCATTAAATGATAATAAATATTATTAAATTTATTTTTTGTTATTGATTTTCTTATATTTAATTTTTAATTATTTTATTTAAAAATATTATAAATGGCAATTCATTTATATAATCATACAAAACACATAAGATAATTATATATTTTAGTCATGATGACTTCACTTAAAATTTCTTCAAATGATATATAGGCATTTTGTAACAACAACTAGATTTATATAATACATGATGAAAGTTTTCGTAATTATTATTTTATTTATTGTACTTTAAAAACAATTCAAAAATACTTGAAAATTTAAAATGATATATTTTATTTTATAACGAAAAATAAAATATTAAGCTAAATCAATAGTTTAACTTATTATTATCTCTCTCAATTATTTGTTTCAATCATTTTGCTATGCTACAAATCAAATTAATTAGAATTTCAGATTTGATTCCCTCTCATTCTTTTTTAATTACATCATTAAAAATATGATTTTTTATTAATTACAAGATGTTGATCTCTTTTTTTACATATCCCTTCAAAACTGACCACAAATTTTCAATTTGATTTAAATCTGAGCTATTCAATAATCAATCAAACAACCTCATTCATTATTTAGAAAGAAATTATTTTAGTTTCCTTAGCTATGTGTTTAGGGTCATTGTTTTATTAAAGACTCAATACCTTTTCATTACATAATATCTAAAAATGGCTAATGCAATAACACGTGAAATAGTTATTAGTGATTTTATACATTGAATTTTATTCTGAGAACTTTCATTATGCACTCTAAATAGTTTTTTATGGTTATAATACTCTCAAATATATATTTTTCTTTTTTCTTCTTTAAACAGAATATTTGAAAGATAAGTATTTACAATCTTACATACTAGTAAACTGATTTTAGTCTGTTTAAATTTTATGAAGTAAAATTCAAAATTTTAATACCTTACTAATTTATCTTCCTAATAAATCAAAATCAATTTATCTAAAAATGGAATTATTATTTCTGCAGAATCTCCTTTCATTATTATATTATATAGCATTATATTTATCAAGTTCTTAGGATTAATAATATTAGTCACTCAATTATAAGATTTTTTAAACTTCATCGTAATATTAATCTAGAAAATTTTAAAATAAAATAACAAATTATGAATTTTCTGACACATTAACCAAGTTACGCATTATTGAGGATGTTATTGTATACTATAGTCACTAATTTTAGAACTTTCAAAATTACAAAAACTTTCATTAACGAAATAGGTAGTTTAAAAGATTTTAATGAACATCAATATGCTTGCCTTTTCACAATTGCAAATTTAACTTTTGAATATGATTTTTCAGATGATGAATACTTAATTAAATTCTTGTAAAATATTAGAAATTATTTAAAGGTAATTAAATCTTTACGAAAATATTGATGGTTAATTAAATTTAGAATTTTTGTCCAAATCTGAGATTATTACGTGCTGTGTTTCATGGGAACATATTATAATAAAAAATATTTTGATAATTGTTAACAATTAGAAAGTATAGAGATTTTGCGTTGCAAGTTCTTTTTAGAAAAACATGAATTATAAGAGCATATTTCGCTTTGATTTCTAGTTCAAGAGCTGATAATATTGTTTTTAAACTTTAATTTTATTACAATTAAAGATTATTCTTCATTATTAAATACAATTTTTCCTTAAATAGGTCAATTCTTGAATTATAATCTAACAACTTCTGATTCAATACAGCCTCTTTAATTGAAAGTTTTGTTTTTTGAGAATTTAAGTCATATCTTCTTATATCAAAGGAAAAGCAAAAAAAAATGACTATAATATTTAGATTAAAAACTTGTAGAAAAGATGAAATGACATTTTAAATATTACAGAATTCTTTTACATAAAAAAATAAATAATTTTTTTAGATAGTTTAGTCATATAAAATTGTTCAATTAATTACAGTTGTATCTGGTCTTGAAGAAATTGTTTTACAAGGTAATAATTTGTCTAGACGGCAGTTTAGTGCAAGCCTAAATTAAATATATTTCATACCTATTTCGTGAGCAAAAAGATTTTATTTTAGTTTTATATTATGCGAACGAATAATACCATTAATTAATCATATGTGTAATTAAATAAACTGAGCCAAGAAAATGTGACAAGACTTACAATGTAAATTATTTAAACTAATTCAAACAACTATGATTTTTAAAATCTGAATTTAACTTATTGTATAAATCAAAAAATAAAATATATACTTATTGTTATTTTATAAAATTTTTTTGTATATATATGAAGCTTCAAAAATCTTAATTAAATTTTATTTTTTTTTTTTAATTATTTTTTTAAAAAATATTTCCTGTCAATAAAAAAAAATGAAATTTACTTCTAAATACAGTAGTATAATACTCACCCTTGCCACTTTGTTAATGCTCTCTGCTGCACTATATTTGTGATTGAAAAGAATTGTGCAGAATGTAAAACTCTTACCTATTTATCAATTATTAACAGATAGGTTTGCTCAAATAACAGGTCAAGGAAAACTTCAACTCTATTCTAATAATGAAAATAAATACATTATTATGTCATATTCTTTTAAATAATGTTAATAAACTTGATTATATCAAATATTTGGCATGTTATCAAATTTTTTTTATTTATTTAATACAAATTTTTGATTTTTCATATAAATCTTATAAAAAAACTTATTTGCAGGATTTTAACAAGATTTGGATTAGTCTAGTTATAAAACTAGTTAAGAGTGAAATGATATACAATATTGAAGAATACAGATGTAAGCTCATTAACTAACCTTTTTCCTAGTTAAAAATAAGCATTAGCAAATAGATTGTCTTAAATCTACATACATTAATATATTGGAACTAAGTATTTTATCAAATCAATTCACATTTTGGTATAGCTGATGACTTAAATACAAGTCTTTATCACAATCACGCCTATATGAAGATATAATAAAAGGTAATAGTAAATGAATTTATAAGTTTTCTTTATTGAACACTTAGTTTATCCTAAAATCTTATCTCAAGTTACTATTCAACTTAAGAGAAAATACATATAAAATATATATTAACTATAGATTATAACTAACAAATATAATGACTATAATTTA